GGATGAATTGAACACATTGGTACAAGCATTGGAGGGGAAATTGGGTGCTATTGAACTATGGGCTTCCAAGGTTTCTGGTTTTCGTTCTTTAAGTAGGAGACAGCATAATTTTGTGAAGCTGGATTCAGAGGGAGATGGACTGGAAATGGATCCCTCGCTGAAAAATGAAGACTTACCAGGTTCGTTGAGAGAGCAAAAACAGTATTCGAAGAAGCAGTGCAGCTCGTTGCATAGCGAGACACATGCATTCTGGTCAGATCAGCAGAAGCATCTTTTATGTGCACCTGAGAACTTGTCAAAAGGTGCGAAAGAAGAAGCTCCTGCCACTAATGGATATCACTTTGATCTAGATTGCAACAGCTTGTCCAATGAGTGCGGAAAAAAAGCAAATGAGACCTCCACATCCATAGCTATACAAGAGATGAATGATGATTTAAAAGTACCTACAGAAAGAGATGGAGTTATTTTAGTCTGTGATTCTGGATCCTCAGTTTCTCTTGCTACAGAAAAATATCTCCATTTATTATCTGATGATGCAACCAACTCTTATGCTTCAAATCACAGTAGTGGCAAGAAGTTATTTGGCGTTGATCTTTCCATGTGCTCACTTCGTGTTCGTCAAAATGGAACACTTGACACTAATAAGGATTCCCCGAGCAGCAAAATGTCTGAACAAAAGCTCGCCTACCATGTCGACCCGCTAAATTTTGGGTCAATTGTTTCGGGAAGGCTGTGGTGCAATAAATTGGCGATATTCCCTAAAGGTTTGTTAAATATGATTTCGTACTAAGAAAATTTTTGCATTTGATGTGACATTTTCTTCAAATTTCAATGCCCTTATTGTATATTTCATTGTTGATGCTCCATAACAGGATTTAGAAGCCGTGTTAAGTTCTTTGATGTGCTCAATCCTGTGACAATTAGTAGCTATATATGTGAGATCTTGGATGGTGGGCTCCTTGGACCTCTATTCAAGGTAAGATGTTATTCAATACTCTGCTTACTGAATTATATAAGTTGAGAAAATATCGGATAGTAAGGACGAGTCTTCTGTTATGTTATTCTCTTTTGCATAGTTGTGAAGGAAATATGTGAGTTATTTTCATTATTTGCATAGTGTGTTTGGAAGGAAAATTTCTCGTTATTACCTTGTAAACGTAGGCATCTACTTTGAAGAAAGGTTACTCGGAAAAAGTTTTTGAGCATGCTATGGTTTTTTTTAATGCTTTAACACGGGAGTAAATAATTTGCTTATTCACTGCCATTGATACTTTACAATAAAATGTGTTAAATTCCAGTTTCGATCTATTTACTGGACTCTAATTATTGTCTACTTGATTTCAGGTTAGCTTAGAAGAGCATCCAGATGAGAGTTTTGTTTGTTCTTCAGCTCAAAAATGCTGGGAAATGGTTTTGCAGAGAGTCAATAAAGAAATCACAACAAAAAGAAATCTAGGAAAACAAGATCTTCCACCATTGCAACCTGAAGAAAGTATCGACGGGCACAAAATGTTTGGGTTACTCTGCCCACACATAGTTCAGGTATTACCTATTATGTTGCTATGTGCACGATATTGCTCATTCAAGTTTGTGACTAACTGGCGTTAGTTTGATCAACAAATAATCGACATGTGATTTTAGAAAAACAAGGAAAGAATTCATAGTTAAATTAGCACAGTAGAAATGAGCAGGATTAACACTACATTTCCCGACGAAAGGACAAGATGCTTCTATCTTGTGATCTTGTAGTTGGTTCATTAGTGGAATCACCTTATCTTTATCCACTTTAGGTTTAGATTCTTGCGCGCATTTCTTGTTTGAACCTAGCCCCAGTTCTTCGAGCTGAGAGGAATCTCTTGTAAAACCTAGAGTATAAAGTGATGGTACCGTATATCAATTCGAACATTTGCTTATAAACAATTTCTTCCTAGTAGAATCAAATTTCTTATTTCTGACTCTTTTAATAAATAAAGTTTTTTCCATCTTCTAACAACTTGCTTCCAAGTGAATTACTCCTACATTGTGCTAACATTGGTGTATACAGTCCATTGAAGCTCTTGATGAAAACCATCAATGCCTGGAGTACTGGAACAAGCAGCTAAAACTCAATGACGGGTGTGAAAATGTCAAAGGGTCTTCAGGTTTATGGAAGTCTGTTGACGTTCAGGAGCAGCCTCTCGTGTCAAGATATGCTGTGGTAAAAACAGGCCAGGGGTCGGGAGGCAAGTTGGCTGCGGATGAGCAGCAGCAGCAAGCTAATTCAGTAGGAAGTAGCGGAAATCATTCATCTGACAATGAGTTGCAGTTAGTACTTAGGAAACTTTTGAGTAAAGCTGATCCTGAAGAACTGAAAATAATGCACAAGATCTTGTGCAGCGGGTCAACTAGCCCCGAGTGGAGAGTAGCATTAGCAACATTGACTCAAGAGATCCAAAGGAACATGTAAATCCCTACAATTTTGGGATCTCTTTTTAGCTCAGTAGGGGTTATCGACAGCTTAATTCTTTCGAATATTAGCATAAGGAAGGGAGGAATGTGAGGATGAGTCGCGCATGAGATATGTTAGTTGAACTTGCTCATGTTATAGAAGTAAGTTTTTGCTTTTGAATAGGCCTGCAAAGAACTGCATTTAGCTTTCCTTTTATATAAGAAAAAAAAGCTTATACAAGTAAGTTTTTGCTTCTGAATAGGCCTGCAAAGAAGCTTTCCTTCTATATAAAGAAAAAAAAAGTTATATAGTTGGATTACCTGAGTCAAATCTTTTAATTTCCTGAAATAAGATCTTATGCTGTTAGAAATGTCTCATTTGTTTTGTTCAGCTGTAGTTTCGTACTAAAAGGTCCAATGTTGGTACTCAACAGAGTGAATGTTCCTAGCACAAACGGTGTCTAACTTAAGTGATAGAGTATTTTTTTCATTCTTATATTATGCCTGGCTCAAATAATCAACCAAATATTGCGTTAGAGAACCAAGGAAAAGAAGACTTTGAAATTTCTATATTAAAAGTATAATATTCTATCACCACACTCATTGACCAACTTGTCCTTTGGATTGATATTATTTCCAAAACATTTAAAAAGTATAACAACTCTAGAAAAAAGTTTCTCATTTTTTCAATTAAGTAGGAGTACTAAACTCTAACATAACTCACAAGAATCATATGAATAAGTTTCTATTAATCATAGGCCCAAAGATCTTAAGTAATTATATTTTGACAAAATTGATTATACGGTCGAATATATTATGGCCCTCCATATAGTTTTTTTCTTCAATTTTGATATTTCTTATTTGCAATACCAACTTCAACAAGGTTTTCATTCGAATGATGACCACAAATAAAATGAAGGTATTAATTGTTGATGTACCTTGACGACCAGGGCAAATGTACTAAAAGTTCTAAGTAACTAAGGAGTCGTTTAGCAGGATGTATTCGAGAAAATATTAGACGTATTAGCTTTAGTAGTATTAATCCCTTGTTTGATAATGTTTTTGACTTATATATAACTAATACATTAGTTATATGCTCTATTCAGTGTCATTCTCATACATAGTAAACCATAGCATTAGCAATATCATGATTTTTAATACATGGATAAACATGTATAAAGATAGAACTGCCCTTTCAAAAACCTGTAATATACCAAATCAAATAGTTGATAAGAAATAATCACAGCATTACTAATACACCCTATTAAGTTCTATTCTTATTACACCCTACCTAATGTTGTATGGTGGGCCGGGCTGGGACCGGGACCGGACCGGTCCCGCGGTCCTAACGGGCTAAACGGGTCTGGCGGGCCGGTCCTAGTGTGTCGGTCCTTAATGGTGCAAAAAGCCCGAGGTGGGCCGGGTCACATAAAATAGCCCACGAGCCCGGGACCGCTAAGCCCGGGACCGGCTGGCGGG